GGCGCATCCCGCCCGGGCTGCCCCCGCCCCACTCACCAGGCCGGGGCGCTGCTGGGGGCCCGGGGTCTCCCCCGCGCGCGGAGCAGGAGCCGGGGCACCGCCATGGAGCGCGTGCGCGGGGCCGGCCGGCCGGGGGGGGCGGCGCTGGAGAACCGGAAGTGCCCGCACAGATCGGCCCCGCCCCCTGTGCTCCCGCCCCGGCTCCCCGAGCAGCCCCCCCTTCTCCCTAGATTGGGCCCTGCATCGCCCCCGGACCGAGGCCTGCCCGCGGGGGGGGAACCGGCCTGGTGTGCGGAGACCTGGGAACATGTTGTGAAAGCAGGAGGCCATCTCTAGTTGGGCTCCACCGGGGTCAGGCCTGGCTCCTATACTAGTCAATATTTTCATTAATTACTTGGATAATGGAGCGGAGATGCAGGTGACACCAAGCTGGGAGGGGTTGCAAGCACTTTAGAGGGCAGGATTAGAATTCAAACTGACCTTGGAAACATGGAGAATTGGTCTGAATTCAACAAGATGAAATTCAATAAAGAGCAAAGCACTTCACTTAGGAAGGAAAAAACAAATGCCCAACTACAGAGTGGGGACTAACCTTAGCAGGCAGTGGTACTGCTGCAATTTGGATCACAAATTGAATGCATCAACTATGTGACACAGCTGCAAAAAAAAAGCGAATATTGTGGGGTGTATAACCAGGAGTGGGGTACCTAGGCTGCGCTCTGCTTGGCCCGGCTGTGCGCAATTCTGGGGCTGCGCGTTAGGAAAGATGTGACAAAACACGAGAATCCAGGGGAGAGCAACACAAATGAAGACAGGTTTAGAAAACCTGCCCTGGGAGGAAAGGTTATAACCTGGGCCTGTTCAGTGCGGCCAAGGCAGGGCGGAGCGGGGTCGGTTCCGGGCTGTTAGGAAGAGGAGGGGTCCGTTGTTCTCCAGGCCCTGGAAGGAAGGACAAGGGGCCAAGTCTGCAGCAGGCGGATTTCGGTCAGATATGGGGGAACCCTTCTGGGGAGCAGCCGAGTGCGGGAGCCCCACACCCCAAGGCGCAGGGCTTGGGGTCCTCGCCTGCGCCCAGACCGAGCCCTGACTCCTGCATGACCTGCCCTGGGTGCTGCCCTGGCCCCGCCCCCTGGGCAATGGACACGCCCCCTGGGCAGTGGACACGCCCTCGCTCCTCCCCTGCTGCGTCCTGGGCACGAGGCACAACCATAGATCCGGACCTCCCGCGGCAGAGACAAGCCCGCCACAGGGTAACCATAGAGTTGGCAAGAAAGGCCCGACGGATACCATAGAGTGACGCCGAGGTGATAGAGTGTCCTGGGCCCGGCCGGCTCCGTCCGTGGCAGGTGGGACAGCGGGGCTGGGGGGAACCCGGGGCTGGGGGGGATCCCCAGCTGTGGGGTGTGGAGGGGGGGATTGGGCTGGGGGAGGGGATCCCCAGCTATGGGGGGGGGATTGGGTTGGGGGAGGGGGATCCCCGAGCGTATGGGGTGTGTGT